CAAGATTTTACTTGTGACAGTAACCAGCGCATTGATTTCAAGCAGGTAGCCAAACTAAAAGTAGGCACAGCTGATCCACTGCCAAAGATGCCACTTTCAATTCCGAAACGGTGCAAAAAGCACCTTTGCAGAGCACCTCTAAGCCACTGTCTCCGCACACACAACTCTGCTCGTGCCCTGTACTCCTGTCTCGCAGCATCCTCTGCTATTTCAGCCCTGGGATCTCTCTATACAGCTCTCTCAAAATCATTTCCACCTGCTATGGCAAAGCCAGCTCAATAACCCAAGCCAACGCAAATATTTGCTCCGAGAAAAACTCAAATCGGCCTTCACGGATTTCATACATCCCTTCATTCATCTTCCGTAAGTATTCCAGAGGGAAGAGAAGATACCTTGCACTCTAAAGAGACAAGTGCCTCAAATGCTCAGGTAACTGTTTTCCTAAAAGTTCAAAGGGAAGCAAGTGTCTAGCTATTGTAAAAACCTTTGCAAATCTGGAAGCCTTCCTGTCAGAGGAACACTACCCCATGATTCGTGGCTAATTATGGAATGACAGCCAGCATACTAACTGGCATCCCTGCCTGACGAGTGATTCTTGCAAGGAGATGCTGATGTGTTTTTGAAATCCCTCACCAGAAGGGAAAAGCAGTTCAGAAGAACTGAAGGTCATTTGGAACAACAAGAACAGGCCTGAAATGCTCGTAAGGAAAACTCTGGGAAACCACTTTCCTTGAGCAACAGCTTCTGCTCTTTCACTCCCTTGTTTCTCCCTTAGGGAAATGTATTTGGTCTGGTAAACACGATTTTTAGGTATTCACTGAAGCCAGCTGACAACATGAGTCCCCATCCCTGGATGTGTTTAAGAATAGGGTGGATGAACTACTTAGGGATATGGTTTAATGGGGGATTAGGGACGGTTGGACTGGATGATCTCTAAGGTCTTTTCCAACCTGGAAATCTATGAAATCTATAGCACGAAGAGCCTGACCCTACTCCTAACACCGGCACGTATAGAAACTACGGCTTTGGATTCGGCTCACGCCCAGGTTCCTAAAACTCAAGAAAAGCAATTACCAAGCCAGAACTAGGAAAAGGAAGCAACTCCTACAGATGAGACGCGGTTTGCTCTCAGCTGGGCACCAATTTTCCTGCCCAGCCTCTGGCGTCCATTTAGGAACCTCACTTCCAGCCGCGGAGCCGGAGCTCCTGGGCTGGGACGCGGCCACCGCCTTCCCCTTCCCCGCCTTTTCGGACAGCCCCGACGGGCTCTTCCTCCGCTTCCCACCGGGAACGGCACCGGGATCGGTACGTACCCTCCGCGGGCTCCGGCAGGGAAGCCGGGCTCCCGGGAAAACATGCC